AAAATGTATATAGAAAAAAAGATAAAATACATATTGATCACGAACAGTCCTCGACTGCACTCAAACGTTGATCGTCTTTTAAACTTAACAATCATCATTATTCAATTGAAGTGTTCCATGTTGAAAAACACTTAAATTGATTTTGGAGAGAATTATAAAATACATTTGAGAAGTTTCCATTTAAATTAATCCATTTAAAAGTCCGCACAGTGCTTAAAGAATGTTTCGGATCGTTGCAACCAAATAAGGTCTAATTGTGGGGTATCGGGGTATCCCCCCTACCCCTCCCCTGTGTCACCACTACATAAACCCGGTATACACATCAACAACTCCTGAGCTATCTGATTTACGCCGATAGCGTCAGATCCGTATTTTGTTTTTCATTTTAGAAGGTAATTGCTTTCTTAATAGGAATCAAAGCGAGGTCACTAACTATATATTCTTTGAACATTTGAGGCACGCAAACAAGTTTAGATAAAGAAAATTGGATAACTACACGACACGTTTAAAAGTATCGCAGCGCTTATAAAGATTAGGAATTCGAAAATGTCATCATTTGTTTTTTTTCAAACAAATTATAATTATTAGTTTTACCTGTATATAACGGTTAAACATATACACACAAGTCTCTGTAAGAATTACACAACAGGTATGTAGATTGCGGATATGATATTTATCCCCAGATAGAAATGAAAAGTTAATCAAGTATATGATATGACTGAAAGAAATACTGGCGATAAGTCATACGAGGCGTAAATTGATATCTGCAATGATTGTTATCACGAAATAAATTCACCTGTATTCCTCTGATACAGGTGAGTCAGAGTGACAATATCATTGGTTTTGTCACCTGAGTGTGGTCTAGTAGGGGGGTTTGTGGGAGGGGGACGGATTGAGATCAGACCCGATATTTAGTCAGATAGGTATCGACATGACGAAATTATCTACTTTTAATCTAAAATACTTCAAATATTCACGGAAACCAATGACAATCTATATTACATTTCATTATCCGCGTAAGGTATATTTATCGCCTATATTGGTTTGTACCCGATAAATTTAGAGATACATGTAGACCACAGTGCTACCGGACACTCTCTGTCTGCGGTCCTTATCAGTACTTATATTTTACCTATGTAAGGGAAGTAACTCTTCCTTTTCTATCAGTACAACTAGAGAAATTGATCAAAATGCCGTGTCGCTGAATTTCAGCATACTGCAGACGGCAAAAAACTGAAAAGATACCGTTTGCCAGGGACAGTTTATAGTTTCCATTATACGTCCCTGCGTTTGCGCTTTTTGTATTTTAAATATTTTCAAAAACAAAAAATTTACAACCCGAGTATGGGATTGAAATAAGTGTTACATTTTTTGTGTTATTAAATTTTTGAAAATTCATTCTTGTAATATGGTTGCAGCACATTTTTTTGTGTTATCAAATTGATGAAAATTCTCGTAATAATGTAACAAAAAAAAAGACAATGTGGCTATAATCTGCTCTCTGCAGATATAAAGGGGCGGAGGTTATATATGGCAAATGGTGGTAGCGGTAGGGGAGGGGGATATGTGTTAAGGTGGATAAATGTGGTTATGGAGAAAGGAGATAATACAAGGGAGGGTTAAGAGAAGGCGGATGACACATGCGGTTACTGTATCTTATGTCCCACTAAATCATGCCGTGTATCCATTAAAATCAATTTCGCTGTCGAAATATACACGACGACGTGACCCGACGAATGACCCGGAAGTAATTATACTGTCAACATTATTTCACTGGAGGGCGCAGCTTTAAACGACACAATGGTCTCGCGTTATTCCAGCGGTTTCCAGGCATGCGTAGCAGCTGACAGTCAAGGGGACGCCAGTCAACAAGAAAAGATAATAACATTTTTGTACTTTAGATTCAAACCATTTTTACTTATTTCCAAACTGCAACACATGTATATTTAAATAATTTAAGCTATTGAGTTTGATCAGACAAATTTGCATTTCGAGCTACCTGTATTTGGTAATATTTGAAAAGGAACTGAAAAGATGTTAAATCGTTCCATGTCAGTGATCTTAACTTAGGAATTTCGTTATATTTTCTGTACTTCGATAGTTCATTCCCTGCATATAATCATAATAACACTGATTTTAAATATTGTACTGTTAAATGGTTAAAACTTAAAAGTCTGTGGCGAATCCATTGCTACAAGGAACTGGTGTTCATTTCTCAACTTGATTCTGATTATGTCTCCAGTAGTGGTACTCAAAAATCTGTTCTTTCCATACACGTATTGTTTTGTTTTGTTTTTGCATTTTAACTGCCCATCGAGTTCATTTTGGACAAAAACAAAACTGTAACACACAGATTTTTACGAAATAGGAATACATCAAACTTAAACTTAAAAGCATACAGGTATATATTGATTTTTTTTTAAATTGTTCAGACAATTGCATAATTCGCGAACTCGGTAACCACCTGATGTATGAGAGTTTGCCGCTTTATACAACATCATGTATAATAGCATCCTGGTTCTGAAGTGCAGTAAACCCACACATGTTTACTCGACTCTCACCCCCTCCCTCTCCCCCTCCCCCTCACCCACCCCCAACCTTTATAATTTTTGTTAATTTTCCTCGCCTCCGTTCCATTCCTACGAGATATCCTTCTAGAATATTACGACGGGGAAGAAAATACTACACCATTGCTTCTACCCAAGACGCATCAGAAGACATTATCGGAGAACAGAAAAGCACAAACTGTCATTATCTGTTACTAATACAAACCCTTCAGATTCGCACATCGTAATAAAACCAGGCAACTCAAACTTTATTGTTGAATATTGTCACCTCAGAGTCCTGTTTCAGACGCCTTTCATCGCACGCTAACTTAACGCTGCTCTCAAACAATATTACCGATTTTTGAAAAAGATAGTGTCGAGTCGAAAAATGGTTTAAATTTTATCATCTCTCATCCGTAAGAATGTAATGCATTTCCTATGTACGTCGAAAAAGGAATACTCTTTTTGTCATTTAGGGTAATGAAAAAATGAAAGAGAGAATGATTTATATAGTTTTTGAAGTGAACAAATTCTTAAAGATTCCATTTACTGAACATTAACACGAAATCGTGTCTGCGATATTTTCTTCTCTTAAAAAATGAAAGTGTGATTCAAAATCAGGAAACACTTTTAAAAACCGATGTGGATATATTTCATTTGTATTCAGCTCCGGGTAAAAGTACAAATGCAAATTGCAAATACAGCAAAATAATCACTGTGGCACCTTAGTATTTGAAGTTAAAGATGAAATGTCTTATTCTGGGTTTTCAACCTCAATTAGGAGGAAAGTCCCGTTTTCTGCTGCAACAAGACAATTATATTACACTGGACAGAGGGATAAGGCTTATGATCATAGCAATCTGTTTATCATGGCGCCTGAGAAATTACAGGGAAACACAAGCCGACAGTAATTTATTCGGATAAATAACAGGCCAGTGTCGCCCGCCATCAGGACCACTTAGACGCTTTGAACAGTAGATGACCCCTATGACCTTTCATACCGGAAGTGGATACTGTGCAAATTGCATCAGAACTTGTGACTATTTTGCACTGGAAGTGGTGGAATTACATAACAAGAATCGAAGTTTTATCTATTTTTTTACACAAGCAATGTTCATATAAAAATGTCTAAGCACTGTCTAAGATTGAGAAAGAGCCGACTATCGTTGCAACGCGCTTAAACACGTACATTGGTTATGTGGAACAGTTTTATAACCAATGATTTAGTTGTACTATTGTTATATTAGGGTGTCATATTGGGGATTTCGAGGCGTGATTTACGACATGAACTAAGGTTCTTCCTTGTCGTTTTCGTTCTTAACGATAACCTAGTCTAACACTCAAGCTCCAAACGCTGACATGCCCTGTTTTATATGGTGCAGAATCAAGTTATCTGCGATTTTTTTTATTGATTCATTAAGCTTACTCATGGAAGGAAATCCCTAGGAGACGCTCGTACTTGTTTGAGTTCACGGGAGGGGAAGGGAGGAAGGGAAATTGATCGAGGGGTGAATTTATTCATGCACTCGAACATTTTAATCATTTTCTTTGCCGAGACTCAACCAAATCTTGCACAAACATGTGTTGCTGGTATACCCGGTGATCAAAATACGATGGTCAAGCATCATTCGTGCTGGTCAAACACTTTTTTCACCCATACCAACACTGGTTTGGGATGATGATTATGCAACTATGTTGGTCAAGAATTGGTCAAGGACAGATGTACCTACCGGCCAAAGATTATCAGACTTGGACTATTCTGTAGCTGTACCATATGACTTAGCACGATAACGGTCAACGCGACCTTTATGCTACATTCAAGCTTTGCAATGACCATGATATTAAGATCAACACAGAGAGGACACTGGCCATTATTTATGGCCAAAGAGGTGTTCTTTTTTTCGCAAGCACCGCCCCTCCCGGATCGGCTTACCAGATAAGTAACTAATGGTCACTTTCTACGGCCGCTGGTCATTCACAGACTAAACATTGGCGACGATAATCTTCGGCCAGACACCTTCGTAATTTCTCACTTTTATCGTCGACTTACAAAAGCGGACAATACTGACCACTGATCTCATTACCTATCTGGACTATCTATAGAGATTAGATATGGTGTTTGATATAATGACCACTGTCCAACCGACCTCCGGCCAGTGGTCAGATGATAGGTACTAATCCGGACAGTATGGTTTACCGCTGGACCGTAGTTATAACGAGCGGGTGTCTGTAATCCAGTAATAGCTAGGATAACGAACATACAACATACAATATATATATGGTATTGCTGGAGGAAATAATACAACAGATCAAGATGTTTTAACGACTTTCGAGGTTGTTGGAATGTCGACTTTTTGATAAGTTCTGTAGACGTACAACCCCTTTATCTTGTCGAACATATCGTGTTTCTCTAGGTTTTAATGATAGCAAATTAGAGTCTGCTGAATTATGTTATCACTCTCCCTTCACTTTTGGTTTACAATACAAACGCTGTTCTCTCTTTGTGTATCTCTGTGTCTGTCTGTGTCTCTGTCCTTCTCTGTGTATCTCTATGTCTGTCTGTGTCTCTGTTCTTCTCTGTGTCTGTCTGTGCCTCTGTCCTCTTCTGTATATCTCTGTGTCTGTCTGTGTCTCTGTCCTTCTCTGTGTCTGTCTGTGTATCTCTGTGTATCTCTGTGTATCTGACTGTGTCTCTGTCCTTCTCTGTGTCTGTCTGTGTCTGTCTGTGTCTTTGTCCTTCTCTGTGTATCTTTGTGTCTGTCTGTGTCTCTGTCCTTCTCTGTGTATCTCTGTGTCTGTCTGGGTCTCTGTCCTTCTCTGTGTATATCTGTGTCTGTCTGTGTCTCTGTCCTTCTCTGTGTATTTCTGTGTCTGTCTGTGTTTCTGTCCTTCTCTGTGTATCTCTGTGTCTGACTGTGTCTCTGTCCTTCTCTGTGTATCTCTGTGTCTGTCTGTGTCTGTCCTGCTCTGTGTATCTCTGTGTCTGACTGTGTCTCTGTCTGTGTCTCTGTCATTCTCTGTGTATCTCGGTGTCTGTCTGGGTCTCTGGCCTTCTCTGTGTATCTTTGTGTCTGTCTGTGTCTCTGTCCTTCTCTGTGTATCTCTGTTTCTACCTATGTCTCTGTCCCTCTCTGTGTATCTCTGTGTCTGCCTGTGTCTCTGTCCCTCTCCGTGTATCTCTGTGTCTGACTGTGTCTCTGTCCCTCTCTGTGTATCTCTGTGTCTGTCTGTGTCTCTGTCCTTCTCTGTGTATTTCTGTGTCTGTCTGTGTCTCTGTCTTTCTCTGTGTATCTCTGTGTCTGACTGTGTCTCTGTCCTTCTCTGTGTCTCTGTCTGTGTCTGCCTGTGTCTCTGTCCTTCTCTGTGTATCTGTCTGTGTCTGCCTGTGTCTCTGTCCTTCTCTGTGTATCTCTGTGTCTGCCTGTGTCTCTGTCCTTCTCTGTGTATCTCTGTGTCTCTGTCTTTGTCCTTCTCTGTGTATCTCTGTGTCTGTCTGTATCTCTTTCCTTCTCTGTATATCTCTGTGTCTTTCTGTGTCTCTGTCCTTCTCTGTGTATCTCTGTGTCTCTGTCTGTGTCTCTGTCCTTCTCTGTTTTCCTATCACTGTGTCTGTGTCTATCTGACTGTTTCTGCCTGTGTGTCTGTATGTCTGTTCCTGTGTGTCTGTCTATATGTCTGCCTGTCTCTGTCTCCCTCCCTCTGTCTCTGTATATATGTTTTTATTACATGCCTGGTTTCTTTTGCTGGTATCGTATATGGTATTGCTTTCCGGATTTTTGGTTTCTCTATGAATTTTAAGTCATTTCCTTTTGTTTTTGATATTACCCTTTTTCCGCTGTTCTCGCCTTTTTAATGCTTCCTTTGCTCCGTTATTGTTTCGGATGATTTGTTTCTCCTCTATTCCTGGTCTTGCATTCCCTTTTCTTTTCTATATCGTTGGTTCCTTGTGTTATTGCATTTTTAATGTTTTGTGTTTGTATTCCTCAACAATGTGTTGCTGTATTGCATTCATTTCGGCAACTTCTTGATTTAGACATCGTTTTTATTTTCATTCTTGGTGTTTTCTTGGAACTGTAAACTTTGGTTTGTTTTAGTTTTGTCTGGTTTAACGTCCTATTAACAGCTAAGGTCATTTAAGGACGTGCCTCCGTGTGTGTTGTGCAAGGTGCATGTGTGTATGTGAGCTGGAGACAGGGTATGTCGGTGTATACTGTAAACAGCTGTTGTACTCGTTTTTGACCTGATAGATAGATTTCCGAGATCCCCTCGGTTTTTCCTCATGTTGGTCTCCTCTTTGATTCGGTGTCCACGAGTTCTTTTCTGCAGTCTCTGCAATCGTTGTTTCCTTATGATTTATTCAAGTGGTCCTGCTATAGTTTCCACTTTATTTTGACAATACCTTTGTTCTGTTGTTTTTCCCTTCACTTTTACGTTTTCTTTTGTAAATCGCTGTTTCTGTTTTTTCTATACTTTTGTCCTATTTTCGTTTCTCTTACTTTCAATTTAACCACCGTCCATATTTTGAACCTATTTTTTTGTTCTTTTGCTATCTTTGTACTCTTGCCTCGCGTCTTGTCCAAATATGTTGTCTTGTCTTTTGTTTTGGAGTTTCCCCATTTCCGACTGGTCCCCTTTTGCATGTTTCTTAGTTTTGTATTTTTGTTAAGAAATTATTGTTTATCAAAGTTTGCGAGCATTTTCAGTTATTATAATCATTTTGTAATCCCATGCTTCACTTTCCCTTGTGTATCTTTTGCGCGATACCTCTTGTTTCATTTTAATGTTGTCTTTTCTTCATAGAATCTTTCTTGCGATGTGCGCCACGTTAAATGAACCGTGTTTTCATGACACGTGACTGCTGTTTTACATCCCATCCTATATTGTCGATGTGATATCCAAACCTCTGGCCCGCCCCCTGGTAGCAAACACCAGAGACAACACACTGTCAGCGGTCCTACGCACGACCTCCTTGGTAGGCAGTTTGTGCTTATAATGACAGATTTCGCGGTTAAGTTTGTTGCTTTATATATATATGCTTAGTTACTTTTCTTTGTTTACACAGATTGTCAGCAGGTGTGATCATATTGAAACGGTGGCATTGTTTTCAATAAATCCGTATCAATCGAACTATTTGCCACTAAGGTATCAACGTGTTTGGAACAAGCGTATTTGTCACGTTGTAGCTCAATCTGGTTCCGTCAATACATTACATATTTACTTGACACACAGATTACCCGCGGAAGGTGACACTAGTCAACACTAACCAAACATTTACTTTTCCTTACGAACAAACCAACAGACAATCTGACGTTAGTCGTATGATAAGCGAACAGATGTTACCGCCATTCAAATACATGCATATGTCCTCTTCTTAGGTCGGCAAGTCAATAAAGGCAATCGAAGGGGTCAGCTACAGAGACACAAGGGTTTGTATATATATATATATATAGTAGATAATAAATAAATAAGTCTTTGCGAAGGAAAATATAGAATAAAAACTTTTTTTTCCAGATCATATATATATATATATGATTTTTATGTTATGAGGTATGTAAAAGGTAAACATATATATATATCATCAGGTGAAACACGGCTCCCTGTGATGTTAGTTGTAAGCATAAACTGATGCATCTGCTAACTGTGGGGACAGTTTGTTACAACTTTAATGTTTTGAGTCTAATGTCCTTGCACAGTGATATCAGCTCCATAAGTTTCATGCACAGGGACCTGAGAATTCGTTACAGCTGTATTTGGACCTAAACTAAGGTGTTTAGAGTACGTTTACACGTTTGGAGGATTTTGATCAATTTCCGGTAAAAATGCCACCCCAAATTATGATAATATACGAGAAGGGAGGAAAGCTCTCGATGTCGAAAATAGACACTCAACTAACTTTCTTGCATCAAAAATCACATTTATATTTGTTGTACGAAAACATGCTTGGTACTGTTGGAAAGATGGATAATTTTTCTTTCACAAACCTCCTATTTGTACGTACAATGTTTTCTCCTTCCGCAGACATGGACTCCGTTTCCTCCAAAAACACACGCCATTTCAGAGTTTCAAAGTTTTTCGCAGTCATTGTGCCACTTTTTCCATATTTATGAGGTTGACGTCAGCCACGTGCTAAGACATTCGGTGTCATTGGCTGGTTATTTCACGGGAGGAATGGCTGCGCTCTTCGGAACATTTCGTGGTTAACTCTCGACGCTATACACACACAAGAGGATTCACAAAACGTCAGTCTCATGAATATGGAATAAATCAAATTTATACATCAATATTTTGGATTCGAACTTTTAAATTTCGAAGCGCATTACATTTTTGAGGTCAAGCTGACTCAACTAAAATCTCTTTTCCGTTTCTCTACGATGACCGCGTGTTAAGTAGACAAACGAAGTGAGAGGGAATTATTTGATTCAAACCCGATGTTTAATAGCGGTATAATGCTCAAACCTGAATGTGCTGTGAAACAGTTACGCATAGCACAGTCGATAGGAGAAACGTGTTCTTCAACTCGTCAAAGTACCGATAACACTACGACGAATGGTAAGGTTGGGTTTGGATCTAATTGTTTTATAAAAGATTGAGGGTTAAATTTTTCTATTACTTTAATCTACGTTTTTTATTTAAACATATTTTTATTTGCATCTATTTTACAAATGGGATTGGGCACAAGTTGTCCAATTTATATTAATCTGCGTTTGTATTTACCGCTGAAATGTGTAAACAATGCGACGCCATCTTGGAAACGACAAATACAGCCCGTACTTGCACCCTTTGAGAGTATGTTTTATATTCATTCAAATTTTGGGCAACAAAGAAACGTCAGATGAAACCGATCATATGGTATATTATTAAAGTGTGTTGCTCCCATCTTGTATATTCAAACATAACTTCAATTTTAGCAGAAGAGTTTCAACGGCATTGTTTTTCATCAAACTTTTGTTTTATAATAGTAGAGAGTCTTTTCGGCTATGCGGGGAGAAATTTAACTATCCACTGTAGACTGTCATAATAGTATTGGGGTTGTTCTAATGTAGTGAAAAGTTAAAGGGGAAAATGAATTTTTAATGGTCACTTTCTTTGAAACTTCAAGAAACAAATTCTTTAAAGGAGATTACTTATGAAACAATCAATCGGTCGGCGGTAGTTTTATTGAATTTGTTTTAAAATGTTGTGGGTTCGGTGAAAAGAAAAACGAAAGCTCCGTAGAGACGTTGTTTAAGCCAGACATGAACAAATTGAGTTTGAATTTATTTTCGTCTTTTCCTTTGGAGAAGACAAAAATTGTAAGCGTTGTACTTTTATTGGCGCTCCTAATCTCACGTGACGCTCGTACGTTTGTATCAGTATACACCTTCTATCCATTATTAAGAAAAAAATCGCATTCCTTGCAAATTAGTTTGCCAGATTTCTTCAAAGAATGATGGCGACGTTTTTTAAAAACATATTTTACATACTTGCTTCAGAAACAGATTATGTCGAAACATAATATCGTTTATTGTATTGCCCTGTATGGCGACGCAAAGATTGGAACCAATTTCTGCTTCGTAGAAAACATTTCAATCTGTAACAAGTGAGTTTTTATGCCATTCCTTTTGGTCGTTTCAGCACATTTGATTTGTTTAACAAGTTGGTCTCTGAAGACACACAATAGCTACATTGTACAGTAGAATCCCGTTAGTCCGGATTGTGGCTGTAACTTCTCTCATTAATTGGGATTCAGAAAAGTACAGTACAGGAGACCATTAATTGTTTGAACTGTCAGACAGTACAGTACAGTACAGTACAGTACAGTACAGAGGACCATTAATTGTTTGAACTGTCAGACAGTACAGTACATTACAGTACAGAGGACCATTAATTGTTTGAACTGTCAGACAGTACAGTACAGTACAGTACAGTACAGGACAGAGGACCATTAATTGTTTGAACTGTCCGACAGTACAGTAGAACCCCGTTAGTCCTTACTGTGCCTATAACTTCTCGTTTATTGGGATTCTGTACAGTACAAAGGACCATTAATAGTTTGAACTGTCAGACAGTACAGTACAGTACAGTACAGTACAGTACAGGACAGAGGACCATTAATTGTTTGAACTGTCAGACAGAACAGTAGAAACCCATTATTCCGGAATGTGTCTGTAACTTCTCGTTAATTGGGATTCTGTACAGTATAGAAGACCATTAATTGTTTGAACTGTCAGACAGTACAGTAGAACCCCGTTAGTCCGGACTGTGCCTATAACTTCTCGTTTATTGGGATTCTGTACAGTACAAAGGACCATTAATTGTTTGAACTGTCAGACAGTACAGTAGAACCCCATTATTCCGGACTGTGCCTATAACTTCTCGTTTATTGGGATTATGTACAGTACAGAAGACCATAAATTGTTAGAACTGTCAGACAGTTCAGTAGAACCCCGTTAGTCCGGAATGTGCCTGTAACTTCTCGTTAATTGGGATTCTGTACAGTAAAGAAGACCATCAATTGTTTTAACTGTCAGACAGTACAGTAGAACCCTATCAGTCCGGACTGTGCCTGTAACTTCTCGTTAATTGGGATTCTGTACAGTACAGAAGACCATTTATTGTTCGAACTGTCAGACAGTACAGTAAAACCCCATTAGTCCGGACTGTGGCTGTAACTTCTCGTTAATTGGGATTCTGTACAGTAAAGAAGACCATTCATTGTTTTAACTGTCAGACAGTACAGTAGAACCCCATCAGTCTGGACTGTGGCTGTAACTTATCGTTGATTGGGATTCTGTACAGTACAGAAGACCATTAATTGTTAGAACTGTCAGACAGTACAGTAGAACCCCGTTAGTCCAAACTGTGTCTGTAACTTCTCGTTAATTGGGATTCTGTACAGTACAGAAGACCATTAATTGTTTGAACTTTGAGACAGTACAGTAGAATCCCATTAGTCCGGACTGTGGCTGTAACTTATCGTTGATTGGGTTTCTATACTGTACAGAAGACCATTTATTGTTCGAACTATCGGACAGTACAGTAGAACCCCGTTAGTCCGGACTGTGCCTGTAACTTCTTGTTGATTGGGATTCAGAAAAGTACAGTACAGAAGACCAATAATTGTTTGAACTGTCAGACAGTCAGTAGAACCCCATTAATCCGGACTATGGCTATATCTTCTTGTTAATTTGGATTTAGTACAGTACAGTACAAAAGACCATTAATTGTTTGAACTGTCAGAAAGTACAGTAGAACCACGTCAGTCCGGACTGTGACTGTAACTTCTCGTTAATTGGGATTCAGTACAGTACAGAAGACCATTAATTGTTTGAACTGTGAGACAGTACAGTAGAACCCCATTAGTCCGGACTGTGGCTGTAACTTCTCGTTAATTTGGATTCAGAACAGCACAGCAGACAATTAATTGTTTGAACTGTCAGACAGTTCAGTAGAACCCCGTTAGTCCGGACTGTGCCTGTAACTTCTCGTTAATTGGGATTCAGTACAGTACAGTACAGAAGACCATTAATTGTTTGAACTGTCAGACAGTACAGTAGAATCCCGTTAGTGCGGACTGTGGCTGTAACTTCTCGTTAATTGGGATTCAGTACAGTACAGTACAGAAGACCATTAATTGTTTGAACTGTCAGACAGTACAGTA